TACGACATCAACGCTGGCATACGCGCTGACCAGGCTGTTGCAACTGGACGGTACCCTGAGGATGTGTACCAGGGTGGTAACGTAAGGTCTTTATCCTATTCCTGATCTTATTTCTCAACTGTCCGTAGCCGTGGTACTTGGCATCCTTTGCAGTTGCCGAGCAGCTCTACGACGCCCTCATTGTGTGGAGCAACGAAGGCTTGCTGACGGTAACAGATGTCTCTTTCCCCTTCTTCCAGCAGTTCGACGCAAGCATTAAGCCAGGGACCTACAGCTCCTCGACTCCAACTTATAGCACCCTCACAACAGCAATCAAGAATTTCGCAGACGGTTTCGTTGCTACGGCTGCGAAGTACACTCCCTCAGGTGGAGGACTGGCTGAGCAGTACACCAGGAGCGATGGCACACCGACCAGTGCTTTCGATCTCACGTGGAGCTATGCATCTGCGTTGACTGCGTTTAATGCAAGGGCTGGTAAAACATCTGCCAGTTGGGGTGCTGCAGGTCTTCCAGTTTCCCCCGCATGCTCTACTAGCAAGGCCTCAACTGTTCCAGTTATCTTCAACGTCAACGCCACTACTGTCGTGGGACGTGAGTCGATCAATGCAGCGAACTTGACCAAGTTTATTCAATTCTGCCGCCTATAGAGAACATATACTTGACTGGCTCTGTCGGTGCTCTGACTGACTGGAGCACCACCAATGCTATTCTCATGTCCTCAGCTGACTACCCAACATGGAGCAGTGCGTCTAATCTTTTTTTTTCAAGTGCAACATGTACTAACACCAAATCCTAGCGGCCGTCACTCTTCCGGCGAACACGCAAATTCAGTATAAGTACATCATTGTCAACAATGGTAGTGTCACTTGGGAATCTGATCCCAATAATGAGTTCACAACGAGCATGTCTGGCATCACAACCCTCAACGACGTGTGGCGGTAATACATTCTGGACACCTTGTTAATGATAGCACAATCATACCCATACCCAATCAGTTTCCATGATTTGTTGCGAGTTGCGTGATCACGGATGACGATGAGCGCGTAAGCGTGTATCTGTTACGTAAAATGCCGTAGTACCGCCTTGGCCGAGCTGGCGCTGGCTGATAATACTACTACTTAGTATAAGCAGTTCACGACACACTTATTATCTTCCTTAAATTCTCACCATGTCCATGCTAGACAAATTCAGGAAGGGCGCACAGAAGGCGGGCATTCAAGCCACGGCTCTCGTCAAAGAGGGCTCCTCGCGCGTGGCGAGTGGCTCTAGAGACTTCGTGCAAGGATTCACGCTGCCGGGGGAAGCTGAGAAGGCAGCAAAGATCCTCGAGAGCTTCCTTGGTGCGCATATTCCTTCCAATGACATCGACAACATCACTTGCTGAATGTTTTGCTGCCCACAGCTAACCCCAATCATCCTGAGTCTGCACTCAACTCAATACCCACAGCCGTCCTCCAGCGTGCAAGAGGTGACATTCATCCAATCTCCACTCACCCCCTCTCACTTACTAATGCGCTCAGGTCTCGCCGTATTCCAAGTGCTCAAGGCTGGATTCATGTTCAGCGGGAAAGCTGGCTCTGGTCTAGTCATCGCGCGGCTCCCGGACGGATCATGGTCTGCGCCCTCGTGCATAGCAACCGGTGGACTCGGGTGGGGCCTCCAAATCGGCGCGGACATCACAGATTTTGTGATCGTACTGAACAGCGAGGACGCAGTCAAGGCATTCAGCATAGGCGGAAACGTCACCATCGGCGGAAACATCAGCGCCTCAGCGGGCCCCATCGGCACTGGCGGGAGCGTCCAGGCCACCTTGGCTCACCCTGCACCCATGTTCTCATACTCGAAATCGAAGGGTGAGATACCTTATACTTTCATCCTGGTCGATTTTCATTTTGACCGTAATGTAATTGTTAACATGATGTGCTGATACGTGCCACAGGTCTTTTCGCTGGTCTCTCGCTGGAGGGCACTGTTCTTATTGAGCGGAAAGACGCTAACCGCGACTTCTACGGATCACCTGTACCTGCACGCGATATCCTTGGCGGGCGTGTGCCTCCACCCGAAGTTGCATCGCGTCTGTACGAGATCATCGAGGCTGCGGAAGGACTGGATGAGACAGGTGTCCCGCAAGCTGCATACGTGCCTAGTGCTACTGGCGAGCATATGAACATCGGAAGTAATCACATGGTGTTTGATGCGGAAGCACATTAATGGTTGGTACCGGCTTTGAGTAGGCAGTGGTGTATATATGAGCTCCATGGTTTTCCCTTGTATTGATTTTTCTCCAGTTCTTATGGTGTAGATCTTATACCTGATTGCAATCCCATCATGTCAGATCCTCTAATTATTCGGTCTAGCTATGGGAGGGTAGCAAATATAATGCATATAAAGCACATTCAGGAAGGTATTAACATCCAGTAATGTGATGGGTAATGATAGCATTTAAAGCATCTAAAGCAGCTTGACTTCAATATGTATGAAGTTCAAGCATCTGGCAAGACAAATGTATCCCAAAATCCAGCGGTTCCATTGGTTGTAGCTGTATCTGCAACGTCGAGGCCCAGTAATTGCATCACGAGGTTGTAGATCTCGACATTCTGGAACCCTGGCATCACGTATTCTCCTGTGCCATCATCATCTCCTCGTGCGACCACAGCAGCCTTCGCGCCCTGCGAAAAAGGCCCGTGTGCGACAAAAATGGCATGCATCGACGGGTCTTCGTTGTCATAGCCGTGGTTCTAGGAAGGCGCAATGTGTTAGCTCGATGACCTACAGGTACGCTAAGGTGAACTCACTCCAGTTGACATTCCATCTTCGCCGTCCGTGTGGTCAGTCAGCGCGTAGCCTGTGCGCGGGACAATCCACACAGGGGCGATGCGGTAATTGTGGGAGAAATGGTATCGTTCGGGCATAGGCTCCACTGTGCCTGCAGACATCTTACCGTAGTTGAATACGTTGAGATCTACCAAGGAGGTGCCGGGGTCGGTGGAGAAGCTCTCAGTCGTAAACACATCGAACTGATCCGGGTGGGAAAGTGTGTACTCGCACAGACGCTCAAGGGCCTCGGTCACGTTCGTGCCAGGAGCGAAGCGTAAGCCCATGGATGGCCAACCTGAACAGCGCAGAGTAAGCAATCCGCCACTTAGTCTAAACATTCCGGCAAGCAACAGACTATATGATGGAATTACTTACCATCCACCCTGGTAACACTTTTCCACGACTGACCAACAATCTCGTCAACATATATCCAAGTCGGGTGGCTGGTGTCCATCATCCCATGGTCACTGACGAAAATGATATCAACGATATGCGTGAGGTTGCGCTCGCCCAGTGCTTGGGTTAGGTTCCGAGCGAAAAGATCGATAGCTGCGAGACTCATCTGTAGTAAGTGGCAAGTTTTGAAAATGAAAATAAGTACATCAACCAATGGAATTGACGCAATGCTTACATTAACGGCCTTGGACATTGGCCCTGTTGCATGGCCAGCTTGGTCTAGCGACGGTTCATACCCTATGAAACAATGACGTCAGCATGTCACGAGAGAATCATGAAATTGAAGAGGACGAAATGACAAGCAGAAGAAATAAACACCGCTCGGCTTAGAGCAAAAGAAGTATACTAGTCTAGAAGCAGAGAAAGAAATAGATGCAAGAACACACCAAGAATAAGCTGCGGCCGCTCTTCCAGCGGGAGGTCAATCCACTGTAAGAGATTGGAAAGTTTCTTCTCAAGAGCGTAATTATTCTGCGTTCCACTTCAGATCACATCGTATCCTTTTTCGAGTTCAAGACCATACTCTTACCTCCCAAGGTAGAAAATATGTAGAGTTCACGCCCGAGGATGTAGACCAAGGACCTGGCCTGGTCAAGTGAATAAAGAGCAAATTAAGTTACAGAGGGAAAACCGACCACATGAGGTTTGCGGTGATGATGCCTGCACGTTCGGCGGTTTCCCACACCTAATTTGTACAAACCGCAGGAAATGCAGAGGACAGGGAGACCGACGTATGTGTCAGTCAAGTGACGAGAAGGACGTGCAAAGTTATAAGAGGTGAAAGGAAACGTATTAAGCGGGCATACAAAAACAATTCGGTGGGTACTGACAGGTTCACCGAGCCACCAGCTCGGGTTCTGCGCGGATTCAACACGAGCATAATGGAATGTGTCTTCGAAAACAGGGTCCCAGAAGTTCTACATGGCCAATGTGAGAATGCCAGGCAGTTGAAGGAAGTGGTGAAGGACGAACGTTCGCAATAATGCCGTGCGACTCAGCGTAGAGGCCAGTCCTAGATGTAGGTAGCATAAGCTTATGTTGAGCAATATACGGGTGATATTTACATCAGTGACCAGTGATTTCTGAAACAAACGTCATTCATATGTATCAATTACTTCAACAAATTATGACTCACGGAAACGTCAGAGTCTGCAGAGAGGGAAGTGTTTAGTGTTAGAGCAAAGAACCGAAAGGGAATGCGCACGGGGAAAATAGGCTTCATGTACTTTGCCCTTATACCTTCCCGACTGATATCTAGTAAATGCGGCGTGAGTCCACGATCCAAATAATCCGCACGAAGACCATCGATCGACACCATAAGCACTGTCTTCTTGAACTCGTGCGTTCCATTCGAATACAATGCGTTCCTGCCAATTCTCGTGTCATGTTGAGTACGAGGCCAGAGTTCAAATAGGGTGGCAAAAAGAATAAGCGAGAGGAGAACACCGAATCCAGCAAAACGCTTGCGTTTGTGTGAGGAGGCAGGGGAAGTGGGTTGCTGCTCGACATCAGGTTGGATAGCGTCATCAACATTCAAGAGTAAACCGCGTCGCTCGTCGGGCGTGGCTAATGCATCGGCATCATGTTTGCGTGTCATCGTGCAAGACGACGACGAAGAACTAGAGAAAGTCGAAAGGGAAGGGAACTGAATGATAACTTATCAGTGTATCACAGAGGCCGCGTAAGAAATAGACTGTATGTGGCTGTGCTCTGAATCATACGGTATTACCTTCTGCAGCCACGTTCGAACTTCGCAATGACATGGCCCGGGATCCTGGGCTGGACAGCGTCCTTGCTCGCCTTCATCAAGGCCCAACTCGTAATTCTGCTCCTCCATGTTCTTTCTGCAGGCCCTATTCCACGTCATGTGGCCTTCGAAATGGATGGTAACCGCCGCTTTGCACGTCTCACTGGCCGCCGCGCGGTTGACGGTCATTCAGACGGGTTCCATACACTTAAGCAGGTACATCCCTTGATCCTGCTTCAGTCATGGAGACCCCCTAACATTGGCTACAGATATTAGAGACATGCATGCGTCTTAACATACACTGTGTTACGGTCTACGCCTTTGCGATCGAAAACTTCAATAGACCACCTGACGAGGTCGACGCGCTCATGAAACTAGCAGAAGAGAGGCTCGTGGAGATAGCACAGAATGGGTGAGACTTTATTTTAAATGCATTGCAGTTAAAGTGCTTGCTCGCCTGACGTCACTGCCTGCGATTACTCTTCAGTGCCCTCCTAAGCCAGTACGGTGTACGCCTCAACGTACTTGGCCATCGCAAGCTGCTACCTGTACATGTTCAAGTCGCAATTGATAAAGCGGAGGGAATGACGCGTCAGAATAACAGGTATGTCCCCTCTACTCTCGTCTTCCATCTTAAACATACTCCGACAGAGCAATATTAAATGTCTGCGCACCATACGCCTCGCGCCATGAGATGACATTGGCGGTACAAACTGTTGTGCAGCAGGCCCTTGATAAAGAGAACTTCGATTCTTCGTGAGCACAGATATTTCCTTGGCCGTTTGTTTTAATTTTGAACTTCTCTCACTCCGTGTTTCATGCTAACTACCAATACACGCAGATTGATCACAGAACAAATTATCGAGGAAAATCTTATGACTTCACTTGGGGGCAGTCCGCCGCTCGACATTTTCATTCGCACGAGTGGCGTGAAGCGATTGAGTGGTTTTCTGCAGTGGCAGGTGTGTCTCTGTTCCTTCCCTGTCTTTCGTCCTCCCTATCACCAATCTCTATTCATTTTGCTTGTCTGTCTTCTATCTCCCATTTCAAAGAAGTGGCTGTTCTCTTTCTTGACGTTGGTGAAAATGGCACCCATATACTCATCCAAAACGTTGTCTTCACCAAACTCATTCGTACCTCTCACAGTGCTGCGAAAACACACAAATTCACATGGTAAATACCTATTGGCCCGACTTCGGCCTCTGGGATTTTGTGCCCATTTTACTAGATTACCAACGGAAGGTGTGGGCACAATCGAGTAACTGAAGGTTTAGGCCTAGGTGAGACTCATCAGATTTCCTACTAGGTGCTTGCTAGTGTAGTGGGCATTGTAGTACCAGGCATTCTTATTTTACAGCGTCCTTCACCAAATGTCGCTCGATAAAATTATTTGTTGTTTTCTACCTTCGTGAGTTCCTTTGTTGACTATGCTTTTACTCGGCTTCAACCTGGAGATACGCATAGTTTTATGATACGGCAAAGGTTGCAGATGGTGGCCGATGACACTTTCAAGTCTGCAGCATTTACAGCTGCTGCAAAGGCCCTCAAAGACAGTCACAACACCTGGGGGTGCTCCGAAAACTGAAAAGCTGCTCGCGCCAGTACTGCAAGTAGAGCTCAATTGTTATCGTTCATATAGTATTCTACTCTTCGGAGATCCTTTCGAAAAATTGTCTAAGCGTATCTGACAGTACTTCAGGTAGCGCCTCAACGCTTCGTAACACCACATAGTAATCGAATGGGAAAGAATCCAAATACCTCTCTACCTGAAGCTCCATGCGCCCGTTGATCATCGTGTAGGCGACTTGATTCATCGAAACGATTGAATTCTGTACAGCAGAAGCGTCTTGTGTTTGCCCTTGCCCAGAAGTGGAGGTCGAGTGCAGTGAGTCAATGATGATGAACACGATCATAACGCGTTGGCTTGTTGCCCGTCTCAGCACCTGCCGCAAACGCTCGTGATCTTGACAGATACCGTCCGAAATGATGATCTCAAGTTGCCATAGTTCACCTGCACTTGCCGACCCGGTGGCCTTTCTTTCCCGGGCGATCTCTAACACTTCGAGGCTCCTCTCCACCATATCCAGGACGTTCGTGGCACGCTGCTCAAATCTGAACGCGCCGAGCGTCTTTGCACCAGCAGCATCCGTGAATGGTCCTTCGTCAAAGCCATGAAGTAACTCCATGCCCTCGCCGAACCTGGCAATTGCAACGTCGCCGACCTCAAGTTTCCCCATGGCGTTGCTCACGAGGGCAAGTGTCTGATAAGCAAGATGTACGCTGCGGGAGCTTGCCATACTGCGGCTGTCGTCGAGTGCAAGAAGGACCTGGTACTCGCGTTGGCTTGGGCGCGTGCGCCGAAGCCAGATCTTGTCCTTGGTGTAGTCAGAGGCGATATAAGGGATGATCTTCTTCATGTTGAGCCTTTTGCCTGTCCGGTAGTCGCCTTTGAGACGAGTGGCCAGGGTGGGTGCAAGGATAAGGCGCAGTTGTTCGCAAAGAGCGTAAGAGAGGTCATGTGTGAGGGACGTGTAAAGCCGCCAAAGAGATTCAGCATCTTCGCATGTATAGCCTGAATCCTGCCAGGTCTGGAGGGCTGCCTCTATGTTTTCAAAGGAGCTGTCTGGACTGGATTGTTCCATGTCTTCATCGACATCCGCTTGTAAAGACGAAGGATCACGACGTGAGGAAACATGTTCGGGGTCTGCACCAGATTGCGTCTCCAACTTAGTTATAGCGCCTTCTATGTCTGGACGTGCACCCTCAGTCGCTGGCTCCGCATGCAATGCAGTCAAGGGCTGTGGTGGTGGTGCAAGCTCATCCGTGCGGGGAGCATCGATATCCATGGGAAGTGCGACTGTTTCTGTTTTCTCATCAACAAGCCTTAGCTCATTCAGCTTCGCAATCTGCTCCTCGCCCGCTGCACCCAAAGCCTGCATCTCCTCGTCCGCATCAGCATACTCGATCTGCTCAGCAGCTTGGTCTGCGGCAGACGGGGAAGACTCTCCACCGCCCAGGATATCTTCGAAGCGCTGTTGTACCTCTTTGAGTGCATCACCAAGGTTACGGATAGGGTTCGTGGTGAGTTCGGTGTGTTGGCGGGCATAGGCTCCACCATGCTGCATGCCCTCCGCTGATGTACCTGGTTTCGTGGCCGTGTCAGTGGAAGACCATGGTTTCGAGGGTTCAGCATCATCTCTTGGTCTGGTCACAAGTTTAGATACAGGTTCTGCATAGATAAATGGACGGCGTACTTTGATTCTTCAGAGGTCTCGTTGGTGCTCTGTTCAGGTGCTGCGGCATCGTCCTTCATCTCACCAGATGCGTCGCCTGCCTGCCCTTGTTGTGCACCATCATTGGCCTGCGGCTCATTGTCCTTGTTCCCTGCATCTCCGTTCCCGGGAGAAACATCTGGCTGAGCAATAGCGCCTTCCTCGACGTCTTCCTCTACATTGTCTGCATCATGGTCTGTAGCTTGGGGAGGCTGTTCCGGCGGCTGATTTTCTTGCGATTGAGGTTCTGGTACATCCTCTGGAGACTCGTCCTTTCCAAAGTTGTCTGTTTCCTCCATCTCATCGGCGTGTTGCTCATCTTCGTCCAACTCTGTATCCATTTCATCCCCCATTTCGAGTCCTCCCTTATCCCCTTGTTCGTCAGGCTCCAGAGCCATGTCATCGGGCAGATCCAAAGTGTTGGCATCGGGAATGTACTCGTCCATGGGCGCGCCATTTGCATTTGGGGCCTCCAAATCTTCGTCGGGCTCTTCGCCCTTGTTTTCTTCGCCTTCTTGGATCTCCTCGCCTTTTTCATCGATCGTTCCGTCTTTCTTTTCCTCCTTTTCCTTTCCACCCTCTTTCTTTGATTGGTTGCGCTCCTTGGCTACGATCTCTGATTCCTCCTGCTGCGAACCTGAGCGGTCTTGGGGAACCTGGTCCTGATCTGCAGAATCTAATTCCGTAGATTCGTCTCCCCACAGCTTTTCGTCGACTGCATTCGGATCACCTGCATCAAGTTTCCCCAGCTGCTCATCTGGCTCCTCCTGCTCATCGTCATCATCTTCCTGATCCCCGTCCTGATCTCCATCGTCTGGCACATCTTCCATCTCCCCACCAATATCCTCGCTCATCTCAATAGTATTATCATCAGCCCCGTGCCCCTGCTCATCTTGAGCTTCACCTTCATCCCCTTTTAATCCTTCAACCTGACTTTCATCCTCGATCTCCTTGCTGACGTTCTCCATTCCCGTTCCATCACCTAGGCCCACTCCCCCGGCAGTCTCAGTGCCACCTTCGGCGTCACCTGAATCAGTTGCATCCGGGGGCAAACAAAAGCCTTGCCTAGCGATAGTATGCATGGTAGAGGAGACGATGAAATCAAGCTTGAAGAGGGCCTTTGTCCATTGACTGTGGACCATGAGGTGTTCTCCCACGAAAGAAATGTAGCACTGAAGAAAGGGGAGGAGGCGCCGAAGGCTTGCCTGGATGTCGGACTGTGAAAGGGAGGAAAGATGGGTCGTCATGACATGCAGCCGTTCCAAGAGGACTTCAAGGTCTAAGGATTGAGTGAACCCTGAAATTGTGCACAAATCTTCACGGATGAAATTATCCTGGGCTTCATCATCAAGAGGCTCGTCGGTAGACCCTTCCGGACATCTTTTCAAGAGGGATTGCACTGTCACCAAAAGCGTCTCGATGATGACATCCGCAGCCAATGACTCTGCAGCTCCGGATGTTGTCTCGGCATCTGTAGAAACGTATTGACTATGGAGCCATTGCTCGATAGGAGACAAGATGTAGCTGAGTCGTGGTTCCGTCATTTTCATCTTTTGGAGGTAGTCGGGAATGGCACGGAAATGTTCGTCAGCTTCTTTAACAGTGGCGTGTTCGACTGTTGGGCAAATAATCAGCTCGTGACCATGCCTGTAAGGAACCAACCCACCACCAGGTAGCACCATAGGCATTGCGTGCTGGCTTCCTTGTAAAACTTCCGAAGCACGGTCACGAAGAACTAGTGTCTTGGCATAAACTGATTGAACCTCAACCATGACTAATGGTGCGGCGCCCTGGTCCTCCTGAATCTCGATGAAAAGGCGAATTCCTTGGAGAAGTTCTTCGAAAGCATGCACGGCGTTGCCGAGTGCTTGACATAGATGCAGCAGACGAGCGGGGGAGAATCCTTTGGTGACAAGTAGGGGGGCTTCGACGAGGGTTTGAAAGCGCTCGGCGCACCGTCTGATGTCGATGAAACATTGAAAAGCTGTTGACAGCCTGGAAACTCATGGTAAGAAAGGGTGTCATCAAGAATTTGTTGACTTACGAAGACCTCGCCTTAAGAGCTAATGAATAACCAGACTCTACAAAGGCAATACCTCGAAGCAAATCACGCGTACTTATGTCCGAGTGATGATCGGAAACCAAGACTCTGACTGCCGAAAGAGCACCACGAAGGCGGTCGAAGTAATACTCTCCTTTCTCGACATGTATGGAACTTTCTGGAGGCATCGACGGTTGCTCTCGTATCCAGCTTTCATCTCTGAGCTCGCTGAGCACTTCGGGTTTGACATTGGCAGCGAGACCGGCACGTTTGAGCTCCTTCAAGAGATCACTCAAAGCCTTCCTCTTGCGAACCAGCAGGCCCTTCACGTATTTTTCTCGTTTCTCCTTGGAAAGACCTGGAGGCACGCCTTCTGCTGCTAGGTCTCGTGCGGTAAGGATGATCTTGACCGCAAGTTGGTCAACATGATGAGGGAGACGTTGGCGCAGGAAAGCCCGAATACGACTGTTCATAAGCCTATGGAATCTCTCGAGTGTCTGGTTTAAATTGGCAAGGTGAGATGGAGTGAAATAGGTTTCGTTCGGTTGAAGAGAGTTGCCACGCTCCAGAGTGTATGCTATGGGGAGCAGATCTCCCGAGTAACCCAGAACATCTATTGACTGGGTGCATTCTGCATCACCAGCGAATGTCGGCAATATGCGCTCAGCAATGGGCTGACGCAGGATCTCCCGGAATTTGCGGATTAGCTTGTAGAGTTGATGATGCGTTCGCTGAGCACTTTGCTTCAGGGCTTGAACATTGACGTCTTTCCAGCTGGCGAGCTTTATGAATGCCTGAACATCTTTCTCAAGTTCTCCTCTTTGATCCGCTAGAGATCCGGCTAACTGGGCTGCAAATAATCGATAGTATCTCCCAGTGGACGTCAAGACAAGTCCGACGCGTTGAAGGGCATTGCGCTGCCATCCGTCCAACGTAGACGCGATATGACCGACGATGATCCTGAAAGTCCCGAGGAGATCCAACCTGACTTGGAACTGACCCAGAGCGCTGGAACGCATGAAGTCGTCCAGGAGCGATGGTAGTTGCCTGAGATATTGTTGGAGAGCTCCAGTAGCTGCGCCTTCATCCTCTTGAGCTGCACTAAGGGTGCCGCGCACCGTGAGATCATACAATCGGAACCAAAACTCCGAAACTCCTTTGGTGAACGAGTCAGATTGAGACTGTAATAGTACTTTCCAGCACGACAGTTCCAAGCGTCTCCATTCTACAACGAGCATTATGAACTCTTGCTGATGTGCCTTGA